TAAAGATGGTTAGTCATCACATATACTCCCATAGAGTGCCACCTCATGCTTGCTAAAGGAGAAGATTTCTTTCCCATGAAGAAACAAGCTCACGGCATTTGAAGAGATTTTGGACAAAATTAATTAAAAGCTACGGCTTTTATGCCTTAAAGCTGATTAATTAATCACTAATCACCTCTTTATGCTTAATTAAATATTAAGCATAATACTTAATTACCAAAATTATTCCGAACGTAAATGGAACGTCGAAAATAATTTCGGGTAATCTCGACTAAAAATAATTAATTCCGAAATAATAATCGACAACGTTATTATATCGGAACTAAAACATGATTTATAATAATAAACTGACGGGATATTCCTGACTGAATAATTTATTCCGAACTCATTAATTAAATAAACGAATCGGAATTACATCTGAAAATTTATTCGGTTACTTAAATAATTAAACCGAATAATTTTTATCGACTAATAGTCGAACTTGGAATATGACTAGCTGATTTACTCGAACTTGAACATGAACATGATTATTTATTAACAAAGGCTAGCTTAAAACTAAAAGCTAGTATTTCCTTTATTAATAAAATACGGGGCGTTACAATAACATAATACTTAATTACCAAAATTATTCCGAACGTAAACGGAACGTCGAAAATAATTTCGGGTAATCTCGACTGAAAATAATTAATTCCGAAATAATAATCGACAACGTTATTATATCAGAACTAAAACATGATTTATAATAATAAATTGACGGGATATTCCTGACTGAATAATTAATTCCAAACTCATTAATTAAATAAACGAATCGGAATTACATCTGAAAACTTATTCGGTTACTTAAATAATTAAACCGAATAATTTATCGACTAATAGTCGAACTTGAAATATGACTAGCTGATTAACTCGAACTTGAACATGAACATGATTATTTATTAACAAAGGCTAGCTTAAAACTAAAAGCTAGTATCTCTTATTAATAAAATACGGGGCGTTACAGATTGGAAGCTAACAGACTATGTATGAATAATTCGTTCTCAATTATTTTAATTACAGTGGTTGCAAGTTTAATTATATTTGCAAGTATAATATTTCATAATACTTAGATATATATAATTATTCCCTAGTCATAATGACATAAGAGATACATAAATATTTGAAAATGCCTTTAAAGTCGTAATTATTTCAAAAATAAAATTTACTTGAAAAAACTTAGGAATAATAACATATTTATTGATTAAAAATACCTATCTATCTATATATCTTTTCCGACATAAATTATTGTTGCATCTCCTAACATTGTCATACATCCATTATCTTCATTCCCAAATTTTAAGACTACCCTAAATGTACATATTTATTAATTCCAGTTTAAATGAATTATAAAACGATGATTCATTCATATTTTATTTTTATCTTAACATTATTTTTATATCTTCATCACATTTTATATAGTTTATTTTTCCTACTTTTTCTTAAAATAATTATCATTAATATTGTCATCAAATATAGTTTTCTAATGTTATCCTTTTGCATCACACTCTTTGAAAAATAGCTCGAATTTGTTATAAGTATAATTTGTAATGATCATTTTTTATTGTAGATTGGAAGCTAAAACATTATGTTTGAATAATTCGTTTTCAATTATTTTGATTATAGTGGTTGCAAGATTAGTTATATTTGCAAGTATAATATTTCATAATACCTAGATATATATAATTTTTCTCTCATAATGACATAAGAGACACATAAATATTTGAAAATATCTTTAAAGTCGTAGTTATTTCAAAAAAAAAAAAAA